TCCGGGGGTGTCCCCGGGCCCGGGGGTGTCCCTGGGGGTCCCGGGGTGTCCCGGGGGGGGTCTGGGTGTCCCCGGGGGTCCCTGGGGGGTCCCTGGGGGTCCCGAGCGCGGCCGCCGCGTCCCCCCCGAGCGCGCCAAAGCCGCGGCGGCCCCGCCCGCGCCGCTTCCCGCCTTTCCGCCGGCCACGCCCCCCGCGCCGCAGCCCGTTGGCTGAGCGCGGCGTGACGTCACGGGCGACGCGGGAGATCCCTTAAAGAGATAGTGACACTACCGGGAACCGGCAGCAGGGACCGGGATTGGGACACTGGGGACAGGGACACGGATTGGGATTGGGACATTGGGGACAGGGACAGGGGATTGGGATTGGGATTGGGATTGGGACACTGGGGACAGGGACAGGGAATTGGAATGGGGACATTGGGGACAGGAACTGGGGACTGGAATTGGGACACTGGGGACAGGGACTGGGACCAAAACTGGGGAGTGGGATTAGGATTTTGGGGACAGGGGCCGGGGATTGGGATCAGGGACCAAGATTTGGGATTGGAACAGGGACAAGCACCGAGAATGGGACCAGGGATTGGAACAGGGACAGGGATCGGGATTGGGATCGGGATTGAGATCAGGACCGGGGATTGGAACGGGGACAGGGATCGGGATTGGGATTGGAACAGGGACAGGGACCAGAACTGGGATCGGGATTGGGATCAGGACCGGGATCAGGGATTGGAATGGGGACAGGGACCGGAACCGGGATCAGGATTGGGATTGGGATTGAGATCGGGATCAGGGATTGGAACGGGGACAGGGACCGCAACTGGGATCGGGATTGGGATTGGGATTGAGATTGGGACCAAGGACTGGGATTGGGATCAGGACTGAGACTGGGACCGGGACTGAGATCGGGATTGGAATCGGGACCGGGACCGAGATTGGGATCGGGACTGAGACCGGGACCAGGATTGAGATCAGGATTGGGATTGGGATCGGGACTGAGATCGGGATCCGGGATGAGGATGGGGCTGGGGTCGGGCCCGGGACCCCGCAGGCTCCGCCCGGGATGCTCGGCCGGTGCCGGGACCGGGAGCGGGAGCGCCCCGCGGGCCGCGGCCGGACCGCAACCGGACACACGGGGGTCACGGGGAGCAGCCCGGGGGGCACACGGGGGATCGGGATTGGGATCGGGATCGAGAATTGGACCTGGGATTGGAACAGGGACAGGGATCGGGATTGGGATCGGGATTGAGATCAGGACCGGGGATTGGAACGGGGACAGGGATCGGGATTGGGATTGGAACAGGGACAGGGACCAGAACTGGGATCGGGATTGGGATCAGGACCGGGATCAGGGATTGGAATGGGGACAGGGACCGGAACCGGGATCAGGATTGGGATTGGGATTGAGATCGGGATCAGGGATTGGAACGGGGACAGGGACCGCAACTGGGATCGGGATTGGGATTGGGATTGAGATTGGGACCAAGGATTGGGATTGGGATCAGGACTGAGACTGGGACCGGGACTGAGATCGGGTTTGGGATCAGGACCGGGACTGAGATCGGGATTGGGACTGGGACCGGGACCAGGATTGAGATCAGGATTGGGATTGGGATCGGGACCAGGATCGGGATCCGGGATGAGGATGGGGCTGGGGTCGGGCCCGGGACCCCGCAGGCTCCGCCCGGGATGCTCGGCCGGTGCCGGGACCGGGAGCGGGAGCGCCCCGCGGGCCGCGGCCGGACCGCAACCGGACACACGGGGGTCACGGGGAGCAGCCCGGGGGGCACACGGGGGTCACGGGGAGCAGCCCGGGGGGCACACGGGGGTCACGGGGCTCTCCGGGGGTCACGGGGCTCGCCGCACACGTGGCCCCACGGGCACGGAGGCCACACGCACCGGGACAGCCCCGGGGCACGGAAACGGCCGGAGCTGGAGAGATCGGGGGTCCCCCGTGTCACACACCGGGATCGGGGGTCCCCCCGTGTCACACACCGGGATCGGGGGTCCCCCGTGTCACACACCGGGATCGGGGTACCCCCATGTCATCGGGGTCCCCCCGTGTGTCACACACCGGGATCGGGGGTCCCCCGTGTCACACACCGGGATCGGGGTACCCCCATGTCATCGGGGTCCCCCCGTGTGTCACACACCGGGATCGGGGGTCCCCCCGTGTCATCGGGGTCCCCCCGTGTGTCACCTACAGGAGTCGGGGTCCCCCTGTGCAATCGGGGTCCCCCCGTGTCATCTGGGTCCCCTCATGTGTCACACACCGGGATCGGGGGTCCCCCCGTGTCACACACCGGGATCGGGGGTCCCCCCGTGTCATCGGGGTCCCCCCGTGTGTCACCTACAGGAGTCGGGGTCCCCCTGTGCAATCGGGGTCCCCCCGTGTCATCTGGGTCCCCTCATGTGTACCCCCGTGTCGCACACCGGGATCGGGGTACCCCCGTGTCGCACACCGGGATCGGGGGTCCCCCCATGTCACACACCAGGATCGGGGGGTCCCCCCGTGTCATCGGGGTCCCCCGTGTCACACACCGGTATCGGGGGTCCCCCCGTGTCATCGGGGTCCCCCCCCAGGTCACCCACCAGGATCGGGGTCCCCCCCCGCGATCGGGATCCCCCTCGTGTGTCCCACCGGGATCGGGGTCCCCCTGTGTGGACCCCCCCAAGTTCGGGGTCCCACCCCGTGTCACTCACCGGGATCGGGGTCCCCCTGCGTGTGCAGAATTGGGGACCCCCCCTTTTGTCACGATCGGGGTCCCCTCGTGTGTCACCTACAGGGGTCGGGGTCCCCCTGTGCCATCGAGGTCCCCCCCTCATGTGTCACCCACCGGGATTGGGGTCCCCTGTGTGGACCCCCCCAAGTTCGGGGTCCCACCCCGTGTCACTCACCGGGATCGGGGTCCCCCTGCGTGTGCAGAATTGGGGACCCCCCCCTTTTGTCCATGATCGGGTCCCCTCGTGTGTCACCTACAGGGGTCGGGGTCCCCCTGTGCCATCGGGGTCCCCCCCCCGGGATCGGGGTCCCCCTGTGTGGACCCCCCCAAGTTCGGGGTCCCACCCCGTGTCACTCACCGGGATCGGGGTCCCCCTGCGTGTGCAGAATTGGGGACCCCCCCTTTTGTCACGATCGGGGTCCCCTCGTGTGTCACCTACAGGGGTCGGGGTCCCCCTGTGCCATCGGGGTCCCCCCCCCGGGATCGGGGTCCCCCCAGTGTCACCCCCCGGGATTGGGGTCCCCACCCCCCTCGGTGCCGCACCGGGGGTCCCCCCACTCTCACTCGGGACCCCCTTGAGTTCGGGGACCCCCTTGAGTCCCAAACCGGGGTCTCCCCCCGTGTGCAGAACTGGGGACCCCTCCCCATTTTGCTCCCCCCATGGCTGTCACCCCCCTCCCCCGCACCGTGTGACCGCGGGCGGCCCCACGTGGGGAGGGGAGGGGAGGGGGGCAGCCCCTGCGCCCCCCTTTTTTTGGGGGGTGGGTTTATGCAAATGAGCGCCCCCTTTTTGTGTCGCCGTCGCCGTCCCCGGCGCCTCTGCCCCGGCGGTGCCGAGCGAGGGGGGAGACGAGCGGGGACCATGAGGGGGCTCGGGGCCATCGCGGTTTTGGGGACACTCCTGCTCCTGGCTCAGGCTCAGCGACGTAAGTGGGGCTTTTTTGGGGGGCGGGGGGCGTCCGGAGGTTGACAGTGTGGGGCTTTTGTGGCGCAGAGCCCCCCCTTAAAGCCAGATCCTTCACGGAGCTGGGGTATACCCCGAAAATTCCCTTTTGGGGTGATTTTGGGTTAGGGTTAGTGGCATAAATGGGGCTTTTTTGGGGAACGGGGGGCGTTCAGAGTCCCATTCTTTGGGATTTTTGGGGTGCCTTAAAGCCAGATCCTTCACGGAGCTGGGGTGTACCCCGATAATCCCATTTTGGAGTGGTTTTGGCTTAGGGTTGGTGGCAAAAATGGGGCTTTTTTGGGGGGCGGGGGGCGTCCGGAGGTTCACAGTGTGGGGGTTTTGGGGCGCAGAGCCCCCCCTTAAAGCCAGATCCCTCACAGAGCTGGGGTGTCCCCTTTTGGGGTGATTTTGGGTTAGGGTTGGTGGCAAAAATGGGGCTTTTTTGGGGGGCCGGGGGCGTCCGGAGGTTCACCGTGTGGGGGTTTTGGGGCGCAGAGCCCCCCCTTAAAGGCAGATCCCTCACGGAGCTGGGGTGTCCCCTTTTGGGGTGATTTTGGGTTAGGGTTGGTGGCAAAAATGGGGCTTTTTTGGGGGGCCGGGGGCGTCCGGAGGTTCACCGTGTGGGGGTTTTGGGGCGCAGAGCCCCCCCTTAAAGGCAGATCCCTCACGGAGCTGGGGTGTCCCCCGATAATCCCATTTTGGGGTGGTTTTGGCTTAGGGTTGGTGGCATAAATTGGGCTTTTTTAGGGGGCGGGGGGCGTCCGGAGGTTCACAGTGTGGGGGTTTTGGGGTGCAGAGCCCCCCCTTAAAGGCAGATCCCTCACGGAGCTGGGGTGTCCCCTTTTGGGGTGGTTTTGGGTTAGGGTTGGTGGCAAAAATGGGATTTTTTTGGGGGGGCGGGGAGCGTTCAGAGTCCCATTCTTTGGGATTTTTGGGGTGCCTTAAAGACAAATCCTTCACGGAGCTGGGGTGTACCCCGATAATTCCTGTTTGGGGAGGTTTTGGGTCAGGGTTAGAAGCATAAATGGGGCTTTTTTGGGGGGCAGGGGGCGTCCGGAGGTTCACAGTGTGGGGGTTTTTTGGGGCAGAGCCCCCCCTTAAAGCCAGATCCTTCACGGAGCTGGGGTGTACCCCGATAATCCCCCTTTGGTGTGGTTCGGGGGTCCCCGGGGGTGGTTTTGGGGTCGCCGGGGATGGTTTTGGGGTGTGAGGGGCTCCGGGAGTGGGGTGGGATTTGGGGGTCGCCATCCCGCTGGAAATGGGGGGCACGCGGCCCCGCTCTCCCCGCCAAGGGGGGGTCCCCGTTTTTTGAGTAGGGGGGACCTGAGAGACCCCTGAAAATGGGGGGACAGAGGGGACTTGGGGGGCCTGAGAGACCCCTGAAAATGGGGGACAGGGGGGACCTGGCAGCCCCTCGACCTGGGGAGGGGACTTTGAAGCCCCCCGACCCTGGGGGGACTCTGCAGCCCCCTCACCCTGGGGAGACTCTGCAGCCCCCCGACTCTGGGGGCATTTTGAAGCCCCCCGACTCTGGGGGGACTCTGTAGTCCCCCGACCCTGGGGGGATCTGGCAGCCCCCCGACCCTGGGGGGACTTTGAAGCCCCCCGACTCTGGGGGGACCTGGCAGCCCCCCGACTCTGGGGGCATTTTGAAGACCCCCGACCCTGGGGGGATCTGGCAGCCCCCCGACTCTGGGGGGACTCTGCAGCCCCCCGACCCTGGGGAGACCTGGTAGCCCCCCGACCCTGGGGGGACTTTGAAGCCCCCCGACCCTGGGGAGACCTGGCAGCCCCCCGACCCTGGGGGGACCTGGTAGCCCCCCGACCCTGGGGGGACTTTGAAGCCCCCCGACCCCGGGGGAACTTTGCAGCCCCCCGACAATTCGGTGACCCGGGGGACTTTGCAGCCCCCCGACCCTGGGGTGACATAGGGGTCCCTGGGGGACCCTGGGGGGCCCGGGGGGGCCCAGGGGGGTGCCCCCCCGCCCCGCCCCGCCCCGTCCCGGCTCGGCCCGGCCCGGCTGGGCCCGGCTCAGCTGAGCGTCACATGAAAGGGCTTTGGGGCCATGTGATGGCTTTGCCCCGCGCGTGGCTTGGCCCCGAGCTCCGTCACGAGGCCCCCGGGTCCCCCCGGGGTCACCCCAGGGTCCCCCCGGGTCCCCCCGGGGTCACCCCAGGGTCCCCCCGGGTCCCCCCAGGGTCACCCCCCGGTCCCCCCAGGGTCCCCACGGTCGGGAGGACACCCCTGGTGGAGGGGGATGTGGGGAGACGCTGGGGTCGTGTGAGGGGGGGACATTGGGGACGTTGGGGACCTCACTGAGTGCCGAGAGTTGGGGACATGGGGGACCTGGCCCTGTCCTGGGAGTGGGGGACATTGGGGACCTCACTGACCCCCAAGTACTGGGGACATGGGGGACATTGGGGACTTGTCAGACCCCTGGGAGTGGGGGGCATTGGGGACATTGGGGACCTCACTGACCTCCGAAAATTGGGGGGACCTGGCCCTGTCCTGGGAACAGGGGACATGGGGGACCCAGCAGCCCCCCAAAAATGGGGACATGGGGGACATGACAACCCCCCAAAAATGGGGACATGGGGGACACGTGGGACCCTTCATCCCCCTGAGCGTAAGGGACACGTTGGGGACGTGACATCCCTCGGGAAAGGGGGACACGGGGGACATGACAGCCCCCAAAAATGGGGGACACGGGGGACATGGCAGCCCCCGAGAAAGGGGGACACGGGGGACATGATAGCCCCCGAAACGGCAGCGGTGACACGGGCTGTGCTCCCGCTGAGCCGCGCGCGGTGTCGCTGTCGCTGTCCCCGCAGGAGCGGCGGGCCGGAGCCGCGGGCGGGGCCCGGCGTGGAGCGGGCGCCCGGCGCCGTTCGGGACGTGGGACACGGAGCTGTACCCGCCCTGGCAGCAGGACAGCCGCGACTGCTGGCGAGGTGAGTGCCACCCGCGGGGGGTGGCCGTGTCACCCCCCGGACCGGCTGTGTCACCCACCTGAGGTGGCCGTGTCACCCCCCGGACCGGCTGTGTCACCCGCGAGGGGTGGCCGTGTCACCCCCCGGACCGGCTGTGTCACCCCCCTGGGCTGGCCATGCTGCCCACCCTGACCAGCTGTGTCACCAGCCCAGGGTGGCCGTGTCACCCCCCCGGACCAGCCGTGTCACCCCCCCCAGACCAGCTATGTCACCCACCTGGGCTGGCCGTGTCACCTACCCAGAACGGCTGTGTCACCTCCCCGGGCTAGCCGTGTCACCAGAGGGGTCTGGCCGTGTCACCCACCAGGGGTGGCTGTGTCACCCCCCCCAGACCAGCCGTGTCACCCACCCGGGCTGACCATGTCACCCACCTGGGATGGCTGTATCACCTGTCCAGGCTGGCCATGTCACCTCCCCGGGCTGGCCATGTCACCAGAGGGGTCTGGCTGTGTCACCTGCCTGGGTTGACCGTGTCACCCCCCCAGACCAGCCCTGTCACCCTCCCAGGCCGGCCATGTCACCCCTCTGAGCTGGCCATGTCACCAGAGGGGTCTGGGCATGTCACCTGCCCGGGCTGACTGTGTCACCTGCCCGGGGTGACCATGTCACCCCCCAGACCAGCCCTGTCATCCCCCCAGGCTGGCCATGTCACCCCCCCAGGCCGGCCGTGTCACCCATCCAGGCTGGCTGTGTCACCTACCTGGGGTGGCCATGTCACCTGCCTGGGTTGACCGTGTCACCCCCCAGACCAGCCCTGTCACCCCCCCGGGCTGGCAGTGTCACCCATCCGGGCTGGCATGTGTCACCCGCCGGGGCTGGCTGTGTCACCCCCCGGGCTGGCCGTGTCACCCCCCAGGCTGGCTGTGTCACCCATCCTGGCTGGCATGTGTCACCCCCCAGACCAACCCTGTCACCCCCCAGACCAGCCCTGTCACCCCCCAGGCTGGCCGTGTCACCCATCCTGGCTGGCATGTGTCACCCCCCGGGCTGGCCGTGTCACCCCCCGGGCTGGCTGTGTCACCCATCCTGGCTGGCTGTGTCACCCCCCCAGGCTGGCCATGTCACCCATCCTGGCTGGCATGTGTCACCCGCCGGGGCTGGCGGTGTCACCGTTGGGGTGTGTCCGCGTCACTGACGCGCCGATGTTGTCCCCTGGCAGGTGGCGATGTCACCTTCGAGCTCAGCAGCGACGCCCCGACGCTGGTGGGCGCCCAGGCCACGTTCTCCATCGCGCTGCGCCTGCCGGACACCCAGCGCGCGCTGCCCGACGGCCGCGTGGTGTGGGGGCAGGACTGCACCGTCAACGGTCAGCGCCCCGAACACCCCGAACACCCCAAACACCCCAAAACACCCCGAAACACCCTGAAACACCCTGAAACATCCTGAAACCACCCTGAAAACCCCCCAAAACCCCCCGAAACATCCCGAAACACCCCGAAAACACCCTGAAACACCCTGAAACATCCTGAAACCACCCTGAAAACCCCCCAAAACCCCCCGAAACATCCCGAAACACCCCGAAAACACCCTGAAAACACCCAGAAACACCCCGAAACATCCTGAAACCACCCAGAAACCACCCCGAAACACCCCCAAACACCCGAAAACACCCTGAAACACCCTGAAACACCCCAAAAACACCCTGAAACACCCCAAAAACACCCAGAAACCACCCCAAAAACACCCTGAAACACCCCGAAACCCCCCCAAAACACCCCGAAACACCCCGAAAACACCTAGAAACACCCCGAAACACCCTGAAACACCCCAGAAACACCCCGAAAACACCCCGAAAACACCCAGAAACACCCCGAAACCACCCTGAAACACCCCGAAAACACCTAGAAACACCCCGAAACACCCTGAAACACCCCAGAAACCCCCCGAAAACACCCCGAAAACACCCAGAAACACCCCGAAACATCCTGAAACCACCCAGAAACACCCTGAAACATCCTGAAAACACCCTGAAAACACCCCAAAACACCCCGAAACATCCCGAAACACCCCGAAAACACCCTGAAACACCCTGAAACCACCCCGAAACATCCTAAAACCACCCAGAAAACACCTTGAAAACACCCCAAAACATCCTGAAACCACCCAGAAAACACCCTGAAAACACCCTGAAAACACCCCAAAACACCCCGAAACATCCCGAAACACCCCGAAAACACCCTGAAACACCCAGAAAACACCCCGAAACCCCCCCAAAACCCCCCGAAACACCCTAAAACCACCCCAAAAACACCCCGAAAACACCCTGAAAACACCCAGAAACACCCCGAAACCACCCTGAAACACCCCGAAAACACCTAGAAACGCCCCGAAACACCCTGAAACACCCCAGAAACACCCCGAAAACACCCCGAAAACACCCAGAAAACACCCTGAAACACCCAGAAAACACCCCGAAACACCCCCAAAACACCCCGAAACATCCTAAAACCACCCCAAAAACACCCCGAAAACACCCTGAAACACCCTGAAACCACCCCGAAACATCCTAAAACCACCCAGAAAACACCTTGAAAACACCCCAAAACATCCTGAAACCACCCAGAAAACACCCTGAAAACACCCTGAAAACACCCCGAAACACCCCAAACATCCTAAAACCACCCCAAAAACACCCCGAAAACACCCTGAAAACACCCCAAAACGTCCTAAAACCACCCTGAAAACAACCCACAAACCACCTCAAAACAACCCAAAAAGATCCTGAAACCACCCCAAACCACCCTGAAAGCATCCCAAACTGCCCTGAAACCACCCCAAAACCATCCCAAACCACCCCAAAACCACCCCAAACCACCGTGAAACCACCCCGAAATCACCCCCAAACCATCCTGATCACCCCACAAGCAACCCCAAACTACCCTAAAACCATCCCAAAATCACCCCAAAACCATCCCAAACCACCCCAAAACCACCCCAAACCACCGTGAAACCACCCCGAAATCACCCCCAAACCATCCTGAAACCATCCTCAAGCAACCCCAAAATACCCTGAAACCACCCCAAAACCATCCCAAACTACCCTAAACCCATCCCAAAATCATCCCAAACCCGCCCAAAAAACCACCCTGAAACTATCCCAAACTACCCCGAAACCATCCCAGAATCCCCCCAAACCATCCTAGAACCATCCTCAAGCAACCCCAAAATACCCTGAAACCACCCCAAACCGCCCCAAAATCATTCCAAAACCATCCTGAAACCATCCTCAAGCAACCCCAAAATACCCTGAAACCACCCCAAACCGCCCCAAAATCATTCCAAAACCATCCTGAAACCATCCTCAAGCAACCCCAAAATACCCTGAAACCACCCCAAACCACCCCAAAACCACCCCTAAACCATCCCAAAATCATCCCAAACCCACCCAAAAAACCACCCTGAAACTACCCCAAACTACCCCGAAACCATCCCAGAATCACCCCAAACCATCCTGGAACCATCCCAAACAACCCCAAACTACCCTGAAACCATCCCAAAACCACCCCAAACCACCCCAAAATCATTCCAAAACCATCCTGAAACCCCTTAAATCTCCAAAATCACCCCAAAACCACCCCAAAACCATCCCAAACTACCCTGAAACCATCCCCAAACCACCCCAAACCCACTCAAAAAAACACCCAAAACAACCCAAACCACCCCGAAATCATCCCAAACCACCCTGAAACCACCCAAAACCCCCTCAAAACCATCCCGAAACCCCAAAAATCCCTTAAACCTCCAGAACCACCCCAAAACCACCTTGAAACCCTCAGACATTCCCCAGTGTCCCCTCACCCCCTGTGTCCCCGCAGTGTCCCTGGTGTCCCCTCACCCCTGGTGTCCCCGTGGAATCCCCAGTGTCCCCATGGTGTCCCCAGTGTCCCCATCACCCTCACCCCTGGTGTCCCTGGTGTCCCCGGTGTCCCCTGTGTCTGTGTGTCCCCACGGTGTCCCCAGTGTCCCCCCACCCCTGTCTCCCTACGGTGTCCCCTCACCCCGTGGTGTCCCCAGTATCCCCGGTGTCCCCTCACCTGCGTGTCCCCCTGATGTCCCCTCACCCCTGCTGTCCCCAGTGTCCCCTCACCCCAGCTGTCCCCTCAGTGTCCCCGGTGTCCCTGGTGTCCCTTCACCCCTGGTGTCCCCGGTGTCCCCGGTGTCCCTTCACCCCCGGTGTCCCCGGTGTCCCTCACCCCTGGTGTCCCCAGTGTCCCCTCACCCCAGCTGTCCCCACAGTGTCCCCTCATCCCATGTGTCCCCAGTGTCCCCAGCATTCCCTCACCCCGTGTGTCCCCGGTGTCCCTGGTGTCCCCTGTGTCCCCTGACCCCCGGTGTCCCCACAGGCACGCGGGTGGCACGCGGGGACCCGGTGTTCCTGGTGTCCCCGGTGTCCCCTGTGTCCCCTGACCCGCGGTGTCCCCACAGGCACGCGGGTGGCACGCGGGGACCCGGTGTTCCCGGAGCAGCCGGACGCCAGCCCCGGTGTCCCCGGTGTCCTCGGTGTCCCCGGTGTCCCCGGTGTCCTCGGTGTCCCCTGACCCGTGGTGTCCCCGGTGTCCCTGGTGTCCCCTGTGTCCCCTGACCCCCGGTGTCCCCACAGGCACGCGGGTGGCACGCGGGGACCCGGTGTTCCTGGTGTCCCCGGTGTCCCCTGTGTCCCCTGACCCGCGGTGTCCCCACAGGCACGCGGGTGGCACGCGGGGACCCGGTGTTCCCGGAGCAGCCGGACGCCAGCGGGACCTTCCCGGACGGGCAGCCCCTGCCCAAGGACAGGCGCGGCAAGTTCGTCTACGTCTGGTGGACGTGGGGTGAGCTGGCACCGCTGTCCCCGGGGTGGCACGGACCCTGCCGTGGTGGCACCCACCGCCTGGGGTGGCACTGACACTGCTGTGGTGGCACTGAGCCCACTGTGGTGGCACTGACACTGCTGTGGTGGCATTGAGCCTGCCATGGTGGCACTGACACTGCTGTGGTGGCACCCACCTCCTGTGGTGGCACTGAGCCCACTGTGGTGGCACTGAGCCTGCCATAGTGGCACTGGGCCTGCCATGGTGGCACTGACACTGCTGTGGTGGCACTGAGCCCACTGTGGTGGCACTAGCACTGCTGTGGTGGCACTGTCCCCACTGTGGTGGCACTGACACTGCTGTGGTGGCACTGAGCCTGCCATGGTGGCACTGACCCCACTGTGGTGGCACTGAGCCCACTGTGGTGACACCAACACCACTGTGGTGGCACTAACACTGCTGTGGTGGCACTGTCCCCACTGTGGTGACACCAACACCACTGTGGTGGCACTGACCATGCTGTGGTGGCACTGTCACCACTGTGGTAGCAATGACCTCATGTCAGCCATGGTGGCACTGTCGCTGTCCCCAGGGCAGTACTGGCAGCTGGTGGGTGGGATGTCCCCACGGTTGCACTGTCCCCACCGTGGTGGCACTGTCGCTGTCCCCAGGGCGCTACTGGCAGGTGGTGGGTGTGATGTCCCCACGGTGGCACTGACCGTGGTGGCACTGTCCCCACCGTGGGGGCACTGTCCCTCTCCCCAGGGCGCTACTGGCAGGGGGGGTACATGGTGTCCCCATGGTGGCACTGCCCATGGTGGCACTGTCCCCATAGTGGTGGCACTGTGCCCACCGTGGAGGCACTGTCCCCACCTGGGTGGCACTGTCCCTGTCCCCAGGGCAGTACTGGCAGGTGGTGGGTGGGATGTCCCCATGGTGGCACTGCCCATGGTGGCACTGTCCCCACCATGGTGGCACTGTCCCTGTCCCCAGGGCGCTACTGGCAGGTGGTGTACATGGTGTCCCCATGGTGGCACTGTCCCCACCGTGGTGGCACTGTCCCTCTTCAGGGCTGTGACACTGCATTTTGGGGACAGTAGGTGACACTGTGTGCAGGTGACACCGAGTACAGGTGACTCCTGATTTAGGTGACACTGTGTGCTGGCATTGCAGGTGACAGTGGATTTTGGGGTCTGTAGGTGACATTGGGTGTGGGTGACTCTGGATTTTGGGGGCAGTAGGTGACACTGGGTGCTGGAGGTGACACTGGCTGCAGGTGACAGTGTAGTTGACACTGGCTGTAGATGACACCAGACACAGGTGACACTTGCTGTAGGTGACAGAGAGTGCAGGTGACACTGGCTGTAGGTGACACTGTTTGTGGGTGACACTGGCTGTAGGTGACAGTGCAGGTGACACTGTTTGTAAGTGACACTGGCTGTAGGTGACAGTGCAGGTGACACTGTTTGCAAGTGACACTGGCTGTAAGTGACACTGGCTGCAGGTGACACTGTAAGTGACACTGGCTGCAGGTGACACTGTAAGTGACACTGGCTGCAGGTGACACGTCCCCACCGTGGTGGCACTGTCGCTGTCCCCAGGGTGCTACTGGCAGGTGGTGGGTGGGATGTCCCCACCGTGGTGGCACTGTCCCCACCGTGGTGGCACTGTCCCTGTCCCCAGGGCGCTACTGGCAGGTGGTGGACGGGCCGGTGTCGCGGCTCACGGTGGGAACGGCCGGCGTGCCGCTGGGCTCCTACACCATGGAGGTGGCCGTGTACCACTACCGGGGCCGCCAGAAGTTCATCCCCATCGGCCACGCCAGCACCCAGTTCAGCATCACCGGTGGGTGACACGGGGACACCGCGGGGACACGGGCTGGGGGACAGCGGGGGGTGGGAAATGGGGCAGGGGGCACGTGCAGTGACACCGGGCGCGGGTGACACCGGCTGCAGGGACACCGGGCGCAGGTGACACCACGCGCCCCCGCTTCACCTACCCCCCGCCCTCTGCCCGTCCCCCGCTGTCCCCCGCTGTCCCCGCAGACCAGGTCCCGCTCACCGTGGACGTGTCGCAGCTGCAGGACGCGGTGACGCGCGACGGCCGCTTCGTGCGGAACCGCGCCGTGGCCTTCGCCGTGCGCCTGCACGACCCCAGCCGCTACCTGCGCCACGCCGACGTGTCCTACTCGTGGGACTTCGGCGACCAGAGCGGCACGCTGATCTCGCGCAGCGCCGCCGTCACCCACACCTACCGCGACACCGGCACCTTCTCGGCCCGCCTGGTGCTCCAGGCCGCCATCCCGCTCAGCCCCTGCGGGCCCAGCACCGCGCCGGCCACCGCGCCCGCGGCCACCACGGCCACCGAGCCCGCGGCCACCACGGCGCCCGCGGGACGGAGCACGGCGGCGGCGGCCAGCACCGGTAAAGGGGAGCGGGTGTCATGGCGGGGGTGGTCGCGGTGTTCGTGATGTCGCGTGGGGTGTGTGGGACAGCCCGGTGGCTCCCCGGCCTGGAATGTGTGTCACCAGTGTCACCTCACCCCACAGAGCCACCCCATGCCATAGTGTGTGTCACCAGTGTCCCCTCACCCCACAGAGCCACCCCATCCCATAATGTGTGTCACCAATGTCCCCTCACCCCATAGTGTGTGTCACCAGTGTCGCCTCACCCCATAATGTGTCATCAATGTCCCATCGCCCCACAGAGCCACCTCAACGCATAATGTGTGTCCCCAATGTCCCCTCACCCCATAGTGTGTGTCACCAGTGTCCCCTCACCCCACAGAGCCACCTCAACACATAATGTGTGTCACAAGTGTCCCCTCACCCCATAGTGTGTGTCACCAGTGTTCCCCCACCCCACAGAGCCACCCCATGCCATAGTGTGTGTCACCAGTGTCACCTCACCCCATAATGTGAGTCCCCAGTGTCCCCTCACCCCACAGAGCCACCCCAACACATAATGTGTGTCCCTAATGTCCCCTCACCCCACAGAGCCACTCCATGCCATGGTGTGTGTCCCCAGTGTCCCCTCACCCCATAATATGTGTCCTCAGTGTCCCCTCACCCAATAGTGTGTGTCCCCAATGTCCCCCTACCCCAGACTGAGTGTCCCCAGTGTCCCCCCACTCCCCAGAGCCACCCCATCCTATACTGTGTGTCCCCAGTGTCCCCTCACCCCATAGTGTGTGTCCCCAGTGTCCCCTCACCCCCCAGTGTCACCCCACCTCATAGTGTGTGTCCCCAGTGTTCCCTCACCCCCCAGTGTCACCTCACCTCATAGTGTTTGTCACCAGTGTCCCCCTGCTCCAGGGTGTCCCCCCACCCCAGACTGAGTGTCCCCAGTGTCCCAGCCAGATCCCCCCAGTGTCACCTAAGGGGACACGGAGCACCCCCAACACCACAGCTGGGGGCGTCCCCTGTGACCCCAACCCGGTCTCTGGGGGTCCTGGTGACCCCAGCCCGGTCTCTGGGGGTCCCGGTGACCCCAGCCCGGTCTCTGGGGGTGTCCCCGGGTGACCCCAGCCCGGTCTCTGGGGGTGTCCCAGGGTGACCCCAGCCCGGTCTCCGGGGGTCCCGGTGACCCCAGCCCGGTCTCTGGGGGTGTCCCGGTGACCCCAGCCCGGTCTCTGGGGATCCCGGGTGACCCCAGCCCGGTCTCTGGGAGTCCCGGTGACCCCAGCCCGGTCTCTGGGGGTCCCGGTGACCCCAGCCCGGTCTCTGGGGATCCCGGTGACCCCAGCCCGGTCTCTGAGGATGTCCCGGGTGACCCCACCCCGGTCTCCGGGGGTCCCCGGTGACCCCAGCCCTGCTGTCCCCGCAGCCCCCGCAGCCTCCGGGGAGCCGGCGGAGCCCACGGGGGGCTCGGCGGCGGAACCCTCGGACCCCGCTGTCACCGAGCCCTCTGTCCCCGTTGTCACCGAGCCCTCTGTCCCCTCCGCCACTGATCCCGCTGGCACCTCCGCTGTCGTCGAGCCCTCTGTCGCCGCTGTCACCGAGCTGTCTGTCCCCTCCGCCACCGCCGCCGCTGCGGCTGCCAGCACCGCGGCTGTCGCCTCCTCCGTGTCCCCCGCTGTCGCCACCGCGGCCGGGGACACCTCTGTCCCCGCGGTGCCCCTGGAAGGGACAGCGGCTGCAGGTGGGTGCTGGCACGGGGTGGCGGTGGCGGCGGGGAGGGGACACGTCGGGGCTGTCCCCAAGGGCTCGCTGTCCCCTTGTCCTCGCCCAGCGTTTCCCGTGTGTCCCTGCAGACGCGGCGACAGACGGAGGCGCGGGTGATGTCACGGCTGCGGCCACCGCTGGATCTGCCACAGCTGGATCTGCCCTCGATGCCACCGCCGCAGCCACGCTCGGTGTCACGGCGGACGCCACCACAGGAGCCACCGTGGGAGCCACCGCCGCGTCCCTGGCGGCTGCCACAGCTGCGGCCACAGCTGGCAGCACAGCTGGCAGCACGGCCCAGCCGCTGGCACTGGTCAAGCGCCAGGCCCCGGCCGAGGACTCGCCCGGCTGCGTCTTGTTCCGCTACGGCACCTTCGCCACCCAGCTGGACATCGTCCGTGAGTCCGGGGGTCCCGGGGGGGTCCCGGGGGGGGTCCCGAGGGTCCAGCCGGGGCTGCCCGACCCTGCTGACCCCCCCCACCGGCCCCCCGCAGAGGGCATCGAGAGCGTGGCCATCGTGCAGGTGGTGCCCGAGGGCGGCGGCAGCAGCGTGGAGCTGACGGTGACGTGCGAGGGCGGGTGAGTGGCGACAGCGGCGACAGCGGCGACAGCGGCGACAGCGGCGGGGACGGCGGCGCGGGGTCCCCGGCGCTGACGGGCCGTGCCCGCAGGGTGCCCGAGGAGGTGTGCACGGGGGTGGCGGACGCCGAGAGTC